TTCGTGCTTGGATAAATATTAGATTTTAAGCAAAGTAAGGGAAGTAGAAACAGCTCAGTATTTAATTGCCTAAATAAACCAATTAATTTCTGCAAATTCAGCTATAGAAAGGAGGAGGTATTCAATAATAGAAGATGTACTTGATACGAATGCATTCGAAGTATTTTCCATTCTGAGTGCTCCAGATCTTGGGTCCAGTTTCACAAACCAATCATAACATTACGACAGTCATAACTCCTACATTTTAACATAGACTTTGTGAAACAGCACCCTGGTTAGCCATAAATCCAGCCCTTTCACTGTTTTCAGATATTATGAATTATAAGAAAGGTTGTTAATTGTTTTAACCAATATACCAGAACACAAAATATGTTGCAATACAAATCATTTGAGAAGCATATCGCAGTACACTTGAAATATCATGCAGTCCTACGTTTCTGTAATATAGGTCAAATTGACTGATCCTTGATGTATGAAAGAATTTATCATTATTATTATTATCATTGTTATCATTTGAGTGAGTGAGTGAATCTAGATTTATGTCCCTTTAAGCAATATTTCCACAATCTATCCGTGAAATGAGCTACATATACTGTGCACATTTCTTAAAATTGAACCTGGGTCATCGGTGTGATTAATGCATGCCATAATAACAACTGTACTCTCCTGCCCACTGTGGTCAGATAGTCATGGTCTGACAAGGTGTTTGTTCAGGTTATCTGTTCAGGTGTCAAGGTCACAACAGCGAAACAGCTGTCAACCAATTCAGATCGGGCATGACACTTGATTTGGATTTTCTACGCAGCAGGTGTTTTTCTGACCCCTCCTCCCCGAGCCGTCTCCATAGGGTGCAACAACATGTGTCAAATATCAATATATCTGTCACATTAATTGTCGTTTTTGATATTTCTAAGCCAACTGTATTGTCTAGACTTGAATGGCTCTCTGTTCGTATTTTGGAAACACTTTTACATGTTTACATGTACATTCACCCTAATAATTTGCCATGTTTGATGATATTATAAATTTGGAAACGCACATGGTACATTTTCGTAATTCCGAAATGTAGAGGTTTGTCTCCAAAAGTAAAATCACTTCAAAGGATCAAATGTATTCTTTTGATATGACAAAATATAATTTTCAGAGCTGGATATGTCGGACATTTATGTTTTGAAACCACCGGAAACATTTCCTTTGAGACAAGTTGACTGAAACACCATTATGTCATAAAGCTAAAACTGATCAGGTTTCAAGGTTTCATGTATTTTGCTGGGAATTAGTTTTATGTTATTTTCATGTACATACTGTGGGTATGTTGTATAACTGATGGCCTGTACAATGGAAGCTATACGGAAGAAGAAATATACATAGGACATTGAAACTGATTGGATGATGAAGTCACACTGTTTGTTTGATATGAAGTCATACAGGGTAATGGACACGAATCCAGGACAAAATCCACCCCAAAATTGCAACCTAGGACAAATTCCACCCGGACAAAATCCACCCTAAGAAAAAAAAACCTGATGACATGTTTAGTCACAGAAATGAATTTTATTCATATCAGTCATTCATAATCGATACCAAAAACAACCAAAATACATATGTAAGCACATTTTGTAAGCACATTTTTGCATATATAAATATGACAATTGCACATTTCACATTTATGACTCATTTATGCATCAATACATATATAAATATGACAACAGCATATATTTTCACACATTCAAAAACATGAGTATAAAGGGCTCCAGTCAGGCTTGCAAAAACATCTTAATTCTTTAAGGGGATTACGTAATGATCAAAGTGTGAGACTACTTAATGATTAATGAAAGAGGATTAAGTAGTGATCAAAATGTGAAAAAATGGAGAAACCTTTAATGTTTGAAACAACATCTAGGAACAACAGCCAATTAAGAAAACGTAAATGCTATCAAAACAATGCTTGAGAAAAACAACTTGATCAAAGATCAGGACACACTAAAACTTTTAACAATAGCAATTTGAGAAGGGTGGAATTTGTCCATTTTTTTGTTAAGAAGAGGTGGATTTTGTCTTGGGTGGCAATTTTGGGGTGGATTTTGTCCGGTCACCAATGGACACATGTTATAATTACAGTGAGGTCAGGGATCAGTGGAACACAGACACACTACCAAAGCTATTGTGTTAATTATTAAATATGAGTATTATATTGTTACTGTAATGTATTTTCATATGTAAAATATTTGGAGGTTTTAATAATCAGTACAATATTTGTAAAATGTTAAAGAGTTCAATTCTATTAAATCTACTATTAAAGATGTCTGCATATGGACCTTCAGTAAAGCATGCCTGGCGCAATGAAACATTTGACTTGAGTAGAAAAAGTAATACCCTCTTAATTCAGACCAGATGACATCTTTAAAGGGACACCAATAAATCTAGAATCTTTAGGTGTAATAGGGGTCATTGAACCCATGTTAAGGCCTATTTATCAGCTGCTATATGAAAATAATGATATCATTATATATAGGTGGTTGGGAAAAATATCTCTTTTTTTAATTCCAGATTAGTTACTGACTGCTAGTAAGAAACGAGTAGGTCATGTAACTGTATCCCTCCTGTACAGAAACTGAAAGACAACTTATCTGGGTTTGTATTTTTTATTAGATGAATAAGTTTCATATGTATTTTTGCCCATTTCTTATGAACAGGTGATGATAAAGTTTCATTCAAGTTAATTGTAAATATATTGGGCCGAAGCATATTGTCATGGCAACAAAAGTAATAAAACACTATAGAAATTCTACATGTTGTAAGGATTCAGTGCAAGTGCACATAAAAGCATGTTGCTAGGGAAGTAGTTTATGCTGTGAATTTTGTTCAGTTGGTACCTGTATGTGTTTTGAACCCACATGAATTACATATATGGACAAATGGTAAAATATCTCCTGGGGGCTGATTATCTGTAAAATTGTATGTCATTTCAAAACATATGTGACTAATATTGAGGTCAGCTATTGATTTTGTAACTTGTCATCGATGGATTGGCTTTTCGCCATGGACAGTGTGATCAGTTATCACACCTCAGGTCCAGGCTGCGAACACACACCATTCCAGATATTGACTTCCCCCCCTTGAGGATTTGTAATGGTATGCGGTTGAGTGTCTTATGACCAAGAACTTAACTTTACAACTGCGATGGGAACCCTTAGTGTCAAAAGATACTAAGATGTCTTCACGGTGAGAGGAGATGTGCCGTGTTGACAATCCTGCACTCGTCACCAGACTATCAATTGTCAATTATTTTTCGAGCTGAGTTGAAGCTGCCGCGGAGTCCGGTTTAGCTATCCCAAGCAGTCAAGGACATTCTCCATTGGAATTATTTGATAGCCTGTAGGTCCATTAGAAAGAAATCTCACCAGATTATTACCTCATATATCAGATACTCCCACAGTTTTCAGCAACCAGTTTACATAATACTCCCATCTCTGGGACCTGTGGGATCATAGTGCAATCTCAGTCAAATCAGGCCACGATTTCTCGAAACAAACTTAAGTTTTTACTCAAATTTCAAACTGAGTTTGACAATTTGAAACAGCTGAATTTTTAACTCAACTGCATTTTTTAAATTAAAAAGCCCAAACAACTGAAGTAATCTAATTACCAAACTCAAATTGTCTACTATGTTTGAGTTTAATATTGATTTCAGTTTATTCTGGGAAATGCATTTTTCTGTGTTTTCTCAAATTTGAGTAAAAACTCAAACTTAAGTCAAAACTCGAACTTAAGTCAAAACTCGAACTTAAGTTTGTTTCGCGAAATTGGGGCCAGATCTTTTTCATACTTCCCTTTATGAAACTGCTATTCCTAATGTAAAAACTCACTTTCTGTTACTTCTTAAGTGACTCTTACTGGAATTTGTCAAGTCTGCAATTTAGTGAATTTGGGACTGGTGATGTATTTTGGGGTGGTGTGGTGGCTAGGAGGTTCTTAGACTAACAGTTAGGCCCTGAATATATATAATTTTGATAGTTACAAATAAACCCATTTAAATTGAAAAGGAGCCCAAGTGAGTTGCTTCATTTAGGGCGTAATCATTGCAAGGAAGGCTAGGCAGTAGGGAAATAATGTGGTTCAGGGACTGAGACCGACTAAGTATTTTCTGTGTACACCAGTGTGTTGATGGTTGTTATATGTTTGGATGATCCATGTCTTCATGCCCTCCCCAAATATGTGTATGGTACCATGTGGTTTTCTTCTATTAAACCTTCCAAATGGCATATTGGATTCTTTTTGCAAAATTAGTAAGCAAAGTGCCAGGGCCACAAGAGACTGACTTGTGAAGATCTGGGTTAGAATTGGTCTTCAGCAACCCAAGTTTGTCTTAAGAATTGTCGTAAGAGATGACTTACGGGATCGGGTAGTCAGACTCGCTGACTTGGTTGACACATGTCATCATGTCACAATTGCATAGATTGATGCTCATGCTGTTGATACTGGATTGTCTGGTCCAGACTCGATTATTTACAGACCGCCATCATATAACTGGAATATTGCTGAGTCCTGTGTTAAACAAACATTCAAACACAAAAGACTATTACAGATTTATATACGAGAACAGAATAACACTGTCTTGTCTGTATCTGGAAATGCCACAGAGAGTCAGTACAACCCACCAGCCTTATGGTGAGAGTTATTCTTGGTTGATTAGTCAAACCCCTGCTGCATTACGTGATTGTTTTCTATCTATTTCACTAACATTTAACTGGCCTTCCCCTAAGAAACTGTCAATTCTTGGGTCACAGCACCTGATGTGCATTTGTTATGATTATGTTGTCTAACAGAACAAGTATTCCATTGCAAACCAAACTACATCCCTCACTCACTCACTCACACACACACACACCTTGTAGTCCCCGCTCACACTTCAGGATATGCTGTGGTTGATTCCAAAGAACCCATGACCAAAAGTAATGTGAGTATTGATAATTGAATGTGATGATTGTTGTCCCCAGAGAGCTCACGAAGAACATACCTGAAGTACAAGAGAAAGCTGGACCACCAGACTGCTTTGATGGAGAAGAGACAGACAGCAGACGACACTGTTCACAAAAAGATGAAGACAGGAAAGGATGATCTTGAGGTAAGTGGAGTACCTTAGATTGATCGATGGAGTTACTGTGACTCATTATGTTTGTCAGCAGACGATGCAGTCTTCAGTGAAATCAGGCCTGGACCAGACAAACCCATGGTCATCAGGGGTCTGTTTTATAAAGTAATCATAGCGCTACGACAGTCGTAAGTCTATGTTAAAGTATGGGAGTTAGTTCACCCAGGCCTGGACCAGACAAACCCATGGTCATCAGGGGTCTGTTTTATAAAGTGATCATAGCGCTACGACAGTCGTAAGTCTATGTTAAAGTATGGGAGTTAGTTCACCCAGGCCTGGACCAGACAAACCCATGGTCATCAGGGGTCTGTTTTATAAAGTGATCATAGCGCTACGACAGTCGTAAGTCTATGTTAAAGTATGGGAGTTAGTTCACCCAGGCCTGGACCAGACAAACCCATGGTCATCAGGGGCCTGTTTTATAAAGTGATCATAGCGCTACGACAGTCGTAAGTCTATGTTAAAGTATGGGAGTTATGATCAGTTTATGTTAAAGTATGGGAGTTAGTTTATGTTATCACCCAGGCCTGGACCAGACAAACCCATGGTCATCAGGGGTCTGTTTTATAAAGTAATCATAGCGCTACGACAGTCGTAAGTCTATGTTAAAGTATGGGAGTTACGATCACCCAGGCCTGGACCAGACAAACCCATGGTCATCAGGGGTCTGTTTTATAAAGTAATCATAGCACTACGACAGTCGTAAGTCTATGTTAAAGTATGGGAGTTACGATCACCCAGGCCTGGACCAGACAAACCCATGGTCATCAGGGGCCTGTTTTATAAAGTGATCATAGCGCTACGACAGTCGTAAGTCTATGTTAAAGTATGGGAGTTACGATCACCCAGGCCTGGACCAGACAAACCCATGGTCATCAGGGGCCTGTTTTATAAAGTGATCATAGCGCTACGACAGTCGTAAGTCTATGTTAAAGTATGGGAGTTACGATCACCCAGGCCTGGACCAGACAAACCCATGGTCATCAGGGGCCTGTTTTATAAAGTAATCATAGCGCTACGACAGTCGTAAGTTTATGTTAAAGTATGGGAGTTAGTTCACCCAGGCCTGGACCAGACAAACCCATGGTCATCAGGGGCCTGTTTTATAAAGTGATCATAGCACTACGACAGTCGTAAGTCTATGTTAAAGTATGGGAGTTACGATCACCCACGCCTGGACCAGACAAACCCATGATCATTGGTAGCAGCATCAATCAAGGACAGTTAACAAGATCACAGTGGAGTGTAGGTGGTTACAATGGCTGCATCTCAAGCAATACATGATGGAATAATAAGAGAGTGTACAGGTCACACATCAAAAGTGATACAATGGCACATGTGTGCATGTGAGCATAAAAACATCAGATTTCTGTTCTGTGAATAATTTACATGCTTTGATTTTATGTTTGTGTGTTGAAGTTAATAATTTCATTAATACCCTATAAAGACAGGGTTGATAATCAACATTTATCACCTGTGAAGCAGTAAGAAGGCTCCGTTGGTCTCCTCGGTGATAATTGCATCAAACATGCAGAATTCCTGCATCCTCAAATAGCTGAGGTTTCGCATTCTGAGCAAGTCCTTCCTCATAATCACCACAACATGCAATAGTCATCATTACCCACAATGTAATTAGTTCTTCTAATGAACTAATAACAACCAACTTTGATTAGCCCGGCCTGACTTGCCTGGTACCAGTAATTTAATCAACATGGCCAGTTTTTTAGCCATTTAAAGACCTGCCAGTGTTCCATTCCTATTCAAACTGGTCATGTGATTAACATCCCTATTAAGAAAGGGATCTCTTTTATCAGAAGAAACATTTGAAAGCTACTGATTAGAGTTTTTATATGTTTTCAAGTGAGTGGTATCTTTAATACCTTGAGCATTTGAGCAATTTGTGACTGCAGTTCGCTTGTATAATTTCAAAGAAAAACACTTATCAAGAAAGCTATTTGTCGTGGTGGGTATGTGGTGGTAAAGAAATTTATTTGTTATGGTAAGTACAAAACATCAGTGCAAGAGAAGAATTGGTGTCACTTGGCCAGTGTAACATTGGATATAAAAAAAAACATGATATGAATGAATCATCAACTGCATGATGACACTGGATGCCGCTCGGTAAGGGTAACGCATATAAAATGGTCAGTTGCCACCCAATTTTAGGTTCAACACTCAAAATAATAACAAAACGTGGTATATTCTAATTGTTTGATTGGCATTCTAGAAGTTGGTGAGTCCAAGATGAAGCATACAACTTTAGGGATGACAACTTCTTGAGTAGTAGATACAATAGCGGTCCGAGATCAAGTCCAACAAAAGCCTCTGTAAAGCGTTATTTCACAAATAAAGCTTTTGTCAGGCCCTTAGATCTCGCCCCCCATTGTCTACTACTTTTGAACCCCCAGTTAACTTCCCGACCCCACGTGGCACAATAGTGTCGCTATGACCGCGAATTAGCACTTGACACTATGTTGCGTTGACCTCGATGAAACAGTTTAATGTGAATCGCCTATGATCTCTTTGGTGTTCGTAATAAAGGCTTGCTGGGCTTTTCGTACCCCCTGTTCTATGTACTTTTTTTTCTCGTCTTTGCTGATAGCAGACTTACGAGACTTGGACCAGATTATTTGTTTCATCTTACGGTACTTGTCGATTTCAGAGAGGATTGAGCGAAACTCCTCCTCCGAGATCTTACTGTCAGTGAGTGCCGTGGAAATACGCTCACTTACTGTGTTCAGCTTTGCTTCGGCTACAACCCTGATCTCGTCGTGTTTCAACGCTTTATGATGCAGTCTGTGGGATACAAACTTAAACACCAACCCTGCCACCCCTACCACCCCAGCTGTTATTTCAATGCCTAGCACTATAGGTGCGGCCACGATGGTTGCTAACAACCCAACACCTGCCGCCCCTAGTCCCATGCTGGTTGCCATAAGGGCAGTATCAGTCCCGTCCACGATATTGAAAGCTCTATGGTACTTCTTATATAGTGCTTTCCGAGTGTCGCGGTCTTGTTCTAGTTGGTGTTTTACATCACATAACTGTCTCAAGCGGAACCCGTCTACGGTTTCCAGGGTCTTCGCTACTTCCTCTACGACTGGGTACAGTCCCATCCTATAATATATTATATGAGATACTTTTTAACTTGTGTTTCCTATGGGTTTACTACCTGTTCAATATATTTGAAACTTATAAGGTTTAGCTTATCGTGCAGGGAAATAGGTGAGAGTTTAATGGGTAAATCTGTGATTACACGAGACTCTCGGGGATGTGAAGGTGGATATTATACTCCCTGTCGGCCCCCTCGGTATATGGTGATACGGAAACGTTCGTGAATGCCCATGGTGCCATGGTGTATTGTCACCCCAGGTAAAAGTTGCTGCCCTCTATCAAAAGGATCATTATCTCTTAGCTGGACTTCTATGATGAGTGTGGAGTCCGGTTTCACATCCAATTGGGAATCGGGCACATCAAACTTTAACCCTGCGTTAAATTTACTGGCACTATTTATCATGTTACCCGTGTGATCTGGCATTAGATGATGTTCTATAGGGCCCCCTTCCGTAATGAAAGACCCGATTAAGATACCATTGTTTCTAATTTCAGTGACAGATCCATGTATCCTTAAAGAGACGTAAGGTCCGGTGAGGGTCATGTTGATCAACCATTCGGGCTCTATAAGGTTGTCTGCCACAGGCACCCGCCTCTTAAGCGCAGGGCATACGAGGTGCCATCCACGCCAGGCTGATCGAATCCCTCTATGCCTCCTAGACCCCAGAGTGTGATTTTGGGTAGATGATCGGCCATTGCCGCCCGCCTATACACGTTATCTTTTAAGTGTAGGATGTACGAGGTGCCATCCACGCCAGGCTGATCGAATCCCTCTATGCCTCCTAGACCCCAGAGTGTGATTTTGGGTAGATGATTGGCCATTGCCGCCCGCCTATACACGTTATCTTTTAAGCGTAGGACGTACAAGGTGTCTTCCTCGCCAGGCTGATCGAATCCCTCTATGCCTCCTAGACCCCAGAGTGTGATTTTGGGTAGATGATTGGCCATTGCCGCCCACCTATACACGTTATCTTTTAAGCGTAGGACGTACAAGATGTCTTCCTCGCCAGGCTGATCGAACCCCATTGTGCCTCCTAGACCCCCGAGTGTGGTTTGGGTAGATGATCGACCATTGCTGCCCACCTATACACATTGTCTTTCAAGTGTAGGACGTACGAGGTGTCTTCCTCGCCAGGCTGATCGAATCCCTCCGTGTCACCTAGATCGTTAAGCGTGGCGTTGGGACGATGATTGGACATTGATATATTACTATTACGAGATAGTTTCCAATTGTTTTTCTGATAATTTCTCAGGGGCGCACTTCAACCCCATGAAGTGTATGTTGTTGGGTAGGAAGATCTTGGTGAGTGATATCGTGTCTTCCACGGTCACGATGACCTCCTGGAGACTGGTGTGGGAGTCGGCACCCACCCGCACGTAAACAGTGCAAACCTGATACTGGTGCCGTTTCACCCACCAGAGTTTGACCCCCTTCACGATTTCGACTTCATCCGGCGATGGTTCCCCTAGGTAGACTTTGATGACCAGCGTGGAGTTTGCTGGTAGACTCTCCAGGATGTTGACCACGCCTTCGAATTCAGACACCAACTGCAATGTCACGTTTTGCACTCCCGGTTTACTTGATAGTATGTGGGCTGCCATACTGGCGGCTGGGCTGATGACTACGCTATGGCTCTGAGCCGGGACGTAAGCCACGAGAAGGGTTCCGTTGTTCACGACTTTGTTTAGGTAGTTGTCTTTGTTCTCCGTGAACACGTAGGGGGAGCCGAGCCTAATATTGAGAAACCAGTCGACTTTAGCGGGCAACAACACCCACTTGTCGTCGTCGGTGAAGACGAAATGTATATGGCTTGTTTCAGGCAAGCGGTCGCTTCTCTCAACATCTTCTATGTCGAACA